CCATTTGTGGAGTGGAGTAGAGTAGAAAGCTTTCTCTAAATTGTCCACCCATGAGAGAACAGTATTCCACTAACTGTTTCCCTGTGGGGTCCAGTGTTACCCAATGGGGCTTAACTCCCGCTCTTTCCAGGCTGTGCATATATTAGTGAAGGGTGGATCCCCACAAAGGTCCCCCACAAAGCAGTGGGGGAAAGCGAGACCTCTACAGTGTGGCTGACGGGAGGTACTATCAAGCCATGGGATACATGTTGTAGTGGCAATGGCTAGAGAGAAAGGGACTAAGGGGTATGACGAGGTGGGTCCTGAAAGGACAACACTGGGTCAACACTGTGGGGACAGCCACGCCCCCAAAAAAGGATAATAGCAGACCTACCACACGATTAACAATTCTTTTGGAAGGCCCTTTATTAGTGAACACAAAGACATGAAAATATGGCTCTTAGATACTTAATACATTTTTGCTCTTCTTATAAAAGTGAAGTTTTTTAAAAATTTTATTTCAAGTTTTGTGTTATTGAAGGCCATGTGTCCACAGGAGTATACATCATGCATTTGTGATATAAGAAAGGGGAAAACACCCTTGTTTTTATTTATGCCCACATATTTAGGAATATATCTTTCAGTTTTTTGCCTAATGGCTAATTTGTTTTAAAAGAAGACAAGAAAAATTACCACAATGGTTCACCCAAATGCCTTTGAAACTTAAATTGGCAGTTTTGAAATCTACAATAGAAAAGGAGGGACATGGATTTTAAAACTGTCACACTTTGCTAGATCCTCTGCCAGAATGTCAAGTACAAACACAAACACACACACACACACACACACACACACACACACACACACAATTTAAGGGTCAATCATATGAGAAGGACAATAAAACAACATGGGAAGGGGGGACCCCGAAGGTATTGTCTTTCTCAACTAACTCAAACACATAGGATGGTAAAGGAAAAGTCTCTTAAATCATTTCTTTAGTAATACAAGTAATATTTAAATAGATTTAATAGTGCTGCTCCAAACCAATGAATTATGGGTTTAAAACCTATTAAAATGTAATGTTTTTTTCCTGAGCTGAGAGGAGAGAGATTTAAATCCACTGAATTTTAATATTTCAGCTTGAGCTGCAGGAGGTAGAGAAAGTCCAAATGAACTATTCCATCAGCACCATTCAAGCATGAACATTTTAATCAGTTTTACTTCCTTGGAGTTCTCTAACACAGTTTACGCTGTCATTCTGAAAGCACTTAACACAGAGAGTGTGAAAAACCACCAAGGCTTGTTATTGCCTTCACAATTGATGGCAAATAATTTTGCAGACTTCCTATCATTAAAATGTCACTGCTAAAAATTGAGGTTCAGCATTTCTTGTGCTAAACTGCATTTTCCCACAACACCATACATAGCCTACCTGTTTTTAAGTGTTTTTCAGAGGGAGGGGTGCTTTTTTAAAAAATACATACATTTCTATCATTTTTTTTCCCCTCAAATAGGTTTAAAAAGAGGGTAGGGTGGTTTCTAAAAGAACCACATTTTGAATTTTTACAAGCCAAACATTTTCTTTTCCAATGTTCACACTAACAAAACTTTTTTTCTTAATGGTAGTTTCTTTGGTGAAATTCTTATAAGGTTTGAAGTTAACCTCCTTTATTAAGCATAACCACATTCACACAGCATGCACTGATTATATAGCATAATGGATTTAAAAAGCATTTTAAGATAGTCAGATGACTCAATTTAATAATACAGGAAATGAAAACATCATTTCTAATTAGATCATATTACTGATTTAAAACTACAATTTGTGTGTTGTTCCAACAGTGTCATCTTGCAGAGATTCTAATTTAAAAACACAGTGGCTAGTAGGACACATGATGAAATCAAACTAGATACATAACATCCCCCCAGCCCATTTGGGGGAACTTAGGGAAAGCTTCAAGGAAACGTGAAATATCACCAGTTCAAAATAAAACACAAAATATTAACTATAGAAAAAAAACAGGAATCTTCCCTGTTCTCTTCCTTATAAATAAAAGATAAATGATATTTAACTTATTTCAATCTATCAACAGTTTTAAACTGAATATGACCTGTGAAAGAAATCATTATAACTGTGTTTCATTCCATTAAACACAACTAGCTTATTGTCACGAGAACAGCAACCTCTCCAGGTTTCAGGCTCACTTCAGCATTTTGCATTTAAACTGCATGGATCACTGGTTTGGCTCATTTACCAATGAAGGTAGAATAATATTGCAGAGTTAAAAAGGTGCTTCATCAGATTTCATTAAATCTGGGAACATTTGCTCTTGTCTGGATGGTGTTCATACATATAAAACAGATACATATGAAGTGATAAATAAAGGAAGGTCTGCAGGGGCTGAGATGGGTCTTTGCCTCTCAGGAGGAAAACTGTCATTCCTTCAGTGCAGAAAATCACTGTTAGAAAAATCAAGTAACAAAAATCTGAAATTGACCCCTTATCATTTTTGGTAGCAGATTAAAATACCATCACCTCACAACACATTCATGCTCCAGGGAAAAGAAAACAGCAGGCACATTTAAAATTCCACAAGGTAACAAAAAATAATAATAAAATTCCACAATGTTACGACTCCAAAAACTACTACTGGACACAAGGTACTACTGCAGTGCTGAAAAGGACAAACAGAACCTCAGCAACAGATATTCATCAAGTGAGTTTGTAACTGGGCTCTTTCCTTATCACTTGGTTTATGTTCCCTAAAACTGCTAGATTTTTCTATTTCTGCCATCTATTTTTTCAGAATAGTCAGATTATGTGATTTTGACTCCATTTTCTGCTCAGATACAAACAGCTTGGAATTCCCACCAGATCCAAGTACAGTACATGGTGCTCTGATAGCATGCAGCTCTATTGAGTTAGTTCTTCAAATAAGTTTTTAGGTAACAAAATTAAATTAGCTTTTTAAAAATAATTAAATCCAAATATACACAATATGCCTGTCAGTAACTCGGCTACAGTCTAATAAATCATCGTTTCCCTGAGAAAAGACAATCTGCCATCCCATTCAAAACAAAGTATATAAAAAATGAAACAGACATAAAACAGTATTAAAAATACACTCGATGTCATAAAAGGAACTTGTTCTGATTTTATATCTTTCCTCATAACTTTAAGCAATATCCAACACAAAACAATGTGTTTTTGATTTAGCTTACTCTCTTCACTGGACGGTCACGAAAAGACTTGAAACAAAAAAGGCATTCTGTTTTCCTAGAAAAGACTCTCAATCAGATGTAAGGTAAGATGGCTATCTGTATTTTAGTCATTCATAAAAATAATAAACAGTAAACTAGAAATGACCCAGCAAACTCTCCCATCAGACATCACTCTGCACATTCTCTCCAAAAACAGCAGACAGTGCAGTGGGTGAGAAATGTAGGTTTTATCCTTTTTTATCCATGGAAGATTTGGTAACAAAAATATACATACCATCTCAACGTGAATACAACACATGAATGGGTGTGCACGCTCCAAGCAAGCACAGCTGGTGTATACATACATACTTAACTTTAAAATTAAAGCTTTCTCAACTCTTTATAAATTTAATATACTGCTGTTTTCTGGAGTTTTAGGAAATAAAAAGTAACTGAAATGTATTCATCTCTAATGCCCCCAACCCATATCCAGCACAGAAAATGAATGACGGAGCATGGAGATGGGGAGGGATAGGTTGAGTACAGGGTATAAAGAAAAATCACAATTCGTAATAATAATATCCTTATAATAAATGAAAAGAAAAGAAAATGTATGACAAATATTATTTGTGATTCTACGTGACTTGCTCTGTTTCAGCCTCTTTCCAAGATGTACTTTGGAGGAAATAAAGGTTACTCTTTTCCATTTATTATGTCTGATAATTTATTACCCGTTTTTTTCTTGCAGTCAGGGGACACAAAATAAAGCTCCAAATAGCCCATTAAAAAACAAGCTACAATCAGACAATTGCGCCCCCCACCACCAGCAGCCACACCAGAGTTCTGATTTCCTTGTTAAAAGACAGGGGCATAAGTGAAGCAATATCTTCACTTCAGATTGATTATCAGGCAACCCTTATCCACATCCTCACTCAGGAATTTGAATTTTAATGAAAGTAAATGAAATAATTAGCATTTCAAAGTATGTTTGAAACACTAAGGAAAAAAAGAGAAAAGACTTTTGTGTATACACTATACACAAAAGAAAGTATTTGGGTGGGTACAGAAAAAGTTCAGCTATAGTGTCTTCACTATTCTAAGCAACTGCTTATACTGTCTGCATCAATACAGAAGTGAACACTGTGCTCTTTACAGCTAAGATATCTTGCCTTCATTATTATTTCCAAGTTTTGTCATGTTATTTTATTACTTTTTACTTTAGTCTGAGAGAACAAAAATAAAAGTGGAGTTGGAGTTACTGCCCAAAGCCGTGAATTCCGTTGCAGGACTTCTATGCTACATTTATGTCACTATTACCAGGAAGGATTTTCTGACTGGGCCACTAATTTTTCAAAAAAGTGTAGTTCAACTATTACTTGTACTACATGCGAAGACTAGCCCATAAGAACCACAAACCCCAGGGGAGGAGAGTGAATAGCAGGGGAAATGTGAAAATACACATTTCACTAAAAAATGTTATTAAGGTACTCTACATAATCATCATTTACGGAAAGATAAAAGAAATATTATGAGAAAGTACTATCCAGTCTCCTTAAATACTACATTGGGGTATTATGAGAAATATTATGAGAAAGTACTACCCAGTTCTCAGGAACACATCAACTTGAATTGGTGAGAATATGATCCAAACTTTCTGAGGCAGCCATCAAATTTCACAGGAGATTGAAGGCAAAGTTCTTAATTTAACCTGTGGTCATCTAATGCTTTTTGCTCCTTTCATAGAAAAACTTTAAAAAAGAGAGCATGAGAGAGCTGATGACAAACACTAAGATGAGAGCTAGAATGGAAAGGCCACGTACCCCAATGATGGCGTTCAGTTCTGCCATGGTCACCTGCTTGGCCCGTTCCACAGCCTGCACCACTTGTTGCTGGTGCTATAAATGAAGATCAGAAACAGAATACAATTATTTGTTTTCTACTCGGTCATGAACAGCTTTTCCTAACATGTCCTCTAACTTCAATTACATGCAAACAGCACTTGGGGGTCTCTAGATTTCCAAATACAAGCCCCGGGAAGTGGATGACTAGATGTATAGGTACCTTCAGGTCCATACTGAGGAGGAGTAACTGGGCATCCAACTACAGGTACCATCTCTGTGCCCCCGTGAAGGATGTTCCTCTACAACTGGTGGGAGCAACTCAAATTCACTTTTAAGTCAGTGGTGCACTTTGACTAAACATTTCCAATAGTACTAACAAACAAAACACAGCCCACCCGACCTGCTTTCTTTGTATCTCCTTCTCTCTTTGCCATTATCATAAAAAACTTTTTTCAAATTATTTCCTAGAAGTACTTATTTTTAAATTTTCTCCTGATATTTGTTAGAATAGACACTGGAAGGACACATAGAACCCAACATTTACTTCTCTTCTGGAAATGTGAAAAGTGTTCATGTTTTAATTGTCATGAAGGGATGCATGTTTAAGAGAGATCAAAAATGTACAACTTAAGTTTAAGGGCTTCAGATATTTCCTTTAAATGAAATAGAAAAACTAAAACCTACAAGTTGAAGTTTCCTTTAGAAAAACTAGGATGGATAGTGCAGGCAAATCTCTCCATCCACAATTCAGTTCTAAAGAAAATGGGCAATAAACTGATATTAGTAATTTTTGTAACATTAAAAAAATAGCACAGAAATCTCTGGGGGCACTCCCATCTGCACATGCACAAGTGCTTATATTAGCACCCCAAAAATGTAAATATTATTTCCAACTAAATACACTTGAACACTCTAGTGTCTACAGACTCAAATTTGGTCTAAGCTAGGTTTGGTCTTATTTCTACTAGGTTTATGCAAGAGGCTCATTTTGGTTGATCTCAGTTGAAAAGTGTAGCTAACTATCTTCACTTATTTGAAGCGAATATGAAGCTCAACTACCATACTACTTAATACATACAAAGAACTGTCAATTAAACTTGGAATTACCCTTCAACTACCTGGTCCTCATTCCAAATCTCTCAAATATACAGTTACTGAGATCAACTAGGATGACCACTATTTCCACCTCTGAGCTGTGTAGGGGAAGTAAGGTGGGGATGTGGGGAAGGAAACTGCTTTAATTATCTGCCATGTGGTGTTTTCACCCTTGGTTTCCTAACAGAAATGTGTATTGTGCACCTATGGCTGACGGAAAAATGTCATATAATAGATCGATGCATTTTAAGTTTTTAATAGACTCTGAACATTAAGTTACCTACTTTTTAAAATTGGATTTTCTGTTTCAAAACAGGGACTTAAGAAGCAATCCCAAAGTGTTTATCAAAATCTCTGTCCATTCTCTTACTCTCTAATAAATATTTGCCAAAGTCAAATAACTCATTTCTCTTTCTCTGAAGAAAGTAAAAATCCTAAGGGATTGTGAGAACACCAGTAAGAATGGAGAGGCATAATCAATCAAATGGCCAGTAATATTAACTTCAGCTTTTCTTAAAAGCAGCTTGACCATGTATAAAGTTTACTGAGCACTTACTATGTGCCAAGCACAGAGCTTATGTTTAGATTTAAGACAATCTGGTTTTCAGAGTAGTGAAAAGTGGCAGCACTTGAAAAACACAGAAAAAGACAAACGTAGGGCTCTGGAATTTATTTAATAATCAAAGTGAAATTATAGACATTTTTTTTTTTTAACATAAAATAGAAACTATTTCTCTGGAAGAAGCAGGTAATGATAGCTGGGCAACAACTCTGATGATGACTGGTGGGAATACATATAGAAGCAGAAGGGGAAGAGCTGGGGTCAAAGAGAAAGTATTGGTGTCCCTCCAGGGCAACTGCCCCCTTGGTTTCCTTTCAATCCTGGGGCCTTGGGCCCTAGCCCCTGCCAGAAAATGATCTGGCACCCTTTCTCTGCTTCCTGAGCCACACTGGGCTATTTCCAGGCATAAGATCCTAAGACCAGCCGAGTCACATTACATTAGACAGAAATTTCCACCTTTTCCTTTCCGACATTCTATACTGGCTGCTCAAAACTTCTAAGAAACGGAAACAAAGGACCACATATACACATACAACACACATCCTATGCATTCACTTGATTCATTCAACAAAAGTTTTTAAGCTCTTATTCTGCCATTTCTCCATATTATTGAAATATTATCTGCTTTATATTAAGTATTCAAATAATAGCTCCGTGAGACATAGACATGAAAAGGGTCCTTCTACATGAAGACTATTCAACTCTTGCTTCATAAATTGGATTCCAATTGCTAAGATGGGCAAAGATGCCTTAGGGAGTGGGGATATCTTTCTGGCTTGACATTAAAATCAAGTATATTTTTTGAGGAAACTAGAAACACACACCAGTGAGCCATAACTCTGACATCAGATGATCCTAAAGAAACTCTTGCTAAAAAGCTAAAATGACAATGGAAGTCATGATTCAGCTCCTCCTTTTTGATGGCAATGGCCATGGGCTAATACAGTATCTGAACTTGACCTGCAGTTCAGAATTCTGCTTCCCTATTTCTGCTTACAACCCGTGAATCACTTACTGTTTAAGGACCTTTATGAACAGAAGCTCCCTAAAGCAAACAGTGCCTCCTCCCCTGTGTGCTCTGAAACCCCCTGACGTTGCTCACTCAGCCACATACTAGCAATACACTGCAGACTGAAGAAGCACCCACCAGGTAAGATGTGAAATTTAAAACTCATATAGGAGGAAGGGGCAAAAGATCACAAAAGAGAAAAATGAACATTTGAGGAAGAAGCCCAAGAACTCCTGTAAACTGACTCAGGAGGAATGTTTTTTTCTTCTTTCCATTTTCAGATTTGGAAATAAGCTTTCTGACTCAAAAAATATATCAAGTTTTTCACATCTTCTTAGAACCCTGATGGCTTTCCCCTGACATCTGCTATCTCTTCCCCCTTTCTTCCCCTTGCTCATCTGTCCTCTCCTCCCACTCCACCCTCATCCCATTTCCTCTCTCACTTCCTGCTTATCCCCTCTGCTACAGCACAAGTGCTGATGGCCACTCTGGCCCAGACAGCAGGCCACTGCCCTTCTCATTACTCCAACTGCTCACTCAGATATGAGCTCCCTGTTTGAATGTTCCACCAGCATCACCAAATAAAATGTCACTGAGGTCATATTAATAAGGCAAGAGTAAGAGAGAAGGGCCTATAACCAGGCTTTGAAAGAGAAAGAAAGGAAAAAAAAAAAAAAAAAAAAAAAAAAAACCCTCAATTATTCTTTAAAATACTGTGATTTATAATTTTTTTTTAAAGTCCTCAAAAAAGAAAAACATGAATCAAAAAAACTAGACTGTGGTGATGTTTACACAACTTTGTAAATTTACTGAAAATTATCGAAAAATTAAAATGAGTGAATTTTACGGTGTATAAATGATATCTCAATAAAACTGATGTTTAAAAAGAATACTATGGGGCCGAGCCCATGGCGCACTCGGGAGAGTACGGCACTGGGAGCGCAGCAGCGCTCCCGCCGTGGGTTCGGATCCTATATAGGGATGACCGGTGCGCTCACAGCGCTCACTGGCTGAGCACGGTGCGGCCAGTCTCAAAAAGGACAAAAAATAATAATTAAAAAAAAAAAAAAAAAAAGAATACTATGATTTAAGAAATTCAAGTGTGGTATATATATAAAAAAAAAGGCCAGTAAAATGAAATTCTGTACATTAAATCACTTGCCTACTTACTTTTATCACCATAAAATTCTTTTTGGCATTTCTTCGGGGAAAGTATTAAAAATATTTTTTTCTACAAGAAAGATTAAAACAATAGAAGCTCATGATAAGTCCAACAAAACCTGCTGAGAAACAGCCCTTAATAAACCACTAATATGTGTGTACTAGGTGTTCCTATGCATGTTTCTCAGAAGGGATTACCATGACAATACTTATCATGCCAATACTTCAGGGCATGGCAATAGAGGTGATACTTCTAATAAAAAACAGTAATAAAATACTCTATATTACAACTTAGAATTTTTTTGAAATGCTCCCCCTATTGATAGGGTAGTGAAAGGGTGTTATGGGCAGAGATATAAAACGAACTAGGATTGTTATAATAAACAACATTAATTAACGTTCCTGACAAATGGAGATGCGAAAGTGAGAGACATTAACAGCCCTGCTTCTCACAGAACTCACAGTCACATAACATAGGTTATAACTCAGGAATACAGGATATAAAATATTAGAGAGGCTTTAGGAGGGAATGGCCAGCACATTTCCTGGGGCATCAAGAAAGCCTTTGTTTTCTTATTCATTTATTCAAGTATTTATTAAGCACCTACTGTGCGCCAAGCACTGTGGTAGGCTCTGAGGTTACAGTAATGAACAAGACAGACCACGCAGTCTTTGATCTCACAGAGTTTAAACTCTTACCAAGGAAAGTAGTGTGTGAATTAATAATACTCAAAAGGCTCTATAATTACAAATGGAGGATAATTTACATAAGAAAATTACAGGATGCTGGGCGGTCATTTGTCAGATTAATATGTTAATCTAATCTTGTGGCTAGGGGAAGATTCCCTAAGGAAGTTGACCTGACAACTGAGGCCTGAAAGATTTGCAGGAGTTCTGTGGAAGAAAAGAATGCCAGGCAGAGGGCAGAGACTGAGCAAGGTCCCTGAAGGAGAAAGTAGCTTGACTCTAAGGAAGAGGAGAAAGACGTGTGGCTAGGGGAGGAGAGTAGGTAGGGGACAAAGGTGGAGAGACAAGCAGAGTGGGATTTGTGGGGAGCCTTTTTTTTTTTTCCTTTTTGTCTTTTTTACTGACCAGCAACGGGATCGCAACCCTCGGTGTCGCACCCGTACCGGGGACCGGCAACGGGATCGCAACCCTCGGTGTTGCGCCCGCACTGCACTCAGCCAGTGAGCGGGAACCGGTCTGTATGTGGGATGGGAGCGCCGC